CGTTATCGCTACATATAGCAGTCATGATGTCTCAGTATATTTAATGAAAACAACTGAGAAATTACAGGATTCTGCTACATACTTGGTATCTTGTTTGAGAGGTCACCCCAAATCTTGTCCTTGATCTGTATAAAGGAGGAGTCCTCATCAGTAACTGAAGTGCCCAGGATGGGCAGAATCTGGCCCAAAGTTGGACTCCTTTCAGCAGAGATGCAGATGGTTAAAGTGAAGAGTTCCGGTATCTTCATAACTCTGACAAACTGTTCTGCTTTTCTGTAATCGTCATCAGAAAGTCCAGTCTGGAAAATATATACTCGTATTAGCTAGACCAAAAACAACTGGACTTTATTTGTAGAAGGCATTTCACTTCTCTGTTCAAACAGTGGAGAGTGTGGGGTTCGAGTTATAAAGCCCTAAGCTAAGCTACATAATTACTAGGGGTTCGTTTGGGCTCTTTGTTAATAGACACACTCTTGACACATGGCTGAAGCCATTTATGTAAAAAAAGAGATGTAAAAAGATGGTTTCTCTTTACAAAGCTTCCTTCACCTCATTTTCACACCTATCAGGAATTTCAGCCATGTGTCAGAGTGGCTCCAGTGTGTCTATTAACAAAGAGCCAAACGAACCTCTAGTAATTATGTAGCTTAGCTTAGGGCTTTATAACTCGAACCCCACACTCCATTGTTTGAACTGAGAAAGCGCCTCGGATGAGAAGCGAAACGTCTGAACATACGATAGCTATGTTTACATGGACATAAGTAACGCCCCCATTATACTCCCGCGTACGTCCATACTCTGAGGTACACACATACATACACGGAGGTGCGTGCGTACCCCCGCAGGGCATGTCCGTGCAAAGCTCAATTTTTACGCACGCGTACGCGGTGTCGCACAATAAACTGTCCGGCGACGGACTGTTTTGTATGCGACACCAATGTTTTAAATTCCCCTTCTTCATCCCTGATCTGACCTTTTGTTTTGTTTTTGTTTTTTTGCCAAGAGGCAGTGATCTCTTCCTCCTCCTTTGATGCCATGACTGAAATTGTGAGAAATTAAGGAATTTGTCACAAGCGAATTAAAATCTGTCCCATCGTGGCTGTGGGAGATTTCCTGTTGGGCTGGTCTGATGTGTGTGCTGCAGGGCCAGTGCTCCCTGTTTTTTGTTTGTTTGTTTTTTAGAACTTTTTATTAACAACATATAAACAGAACACCGCTGCGGATGGGGCTGCCAGATCTTGTTTTTTTCCGACCTGTCAATCAGTCCAGTAGGCGTGTCAGCAAATGACCAGTCGGCGACCTCAAATTATCCCGAAAGTAAACGCCCCTTGACTGCGAAGCTGCTCTGCAGCTGCTCAGGGTGCACGCTCGAGCATGAAGGCTGAACCCTCCGTGCAAACGGATCTACGCGGGACAATACTGGGGGCTTAATCGGATTAAACGGCCATTCGGAATAAAACTGCGTCATGTAAACGCCCCATTCGACTTATTCTTTGTTGATTCAGCTCGATCCGAAAGAATTTGTAATCCGAATGAGACGGGTGGTTTATGCCGATTCATAATCTGAACGATGTGCATGTAAACACTTAATCTGTTCTTTTTTTTTTTTTTTTTTTTTTTTTTTTTGATTGTGGAAAACTGACCGGACTGCGCATGTGCGACCTACCTCATGTATTTCCGCCTGGCTTGATGCTAATAATATTAGCATGTCTGGGAAGCAAAACTGGTCGGTGAGCGACACATTTCTACTAGAAACTTTGACAGAGCTCAAAATGATCTGTATCACCTGAAGCTCAGTCAGGGAGTGCAGTAACTTCTCCACCGTCATTAAAACATGTCGCAGGTCCATTTTGGGCGCTCAAGTTTGTTTACGTTCATCCCGGAAGTAGAACTTCTTCTGTGTTTTTTTTAAGGAGAGTTTACCACTCTGCGCATGTCAGTACAGTACTTCTGTTCAGAATAAAAGCCAGCTGCATGTGAACGCTCTTCGTGAACAGATTGTGCCCATGTAAACGATACATTCGAATTATTTAATCTGAAAGCATTTCAATCTTGGTCAAAGAATTTTGCGCATGTAAACATAGCTCTCAGACTTCACTTCCTTGTGCTCTGTTAAGAAAATATGGAACAATAAGATCGCAAATATAAGCTGGAGCTAGGTTGTTGAGAGCTTTGTAGGTTAGAAGTAAGAGTTTGAATTATATTCTGGATTTGACGGAGCCAATGGAGAGAAGCTAAAACTGGAGAGATATGATCTCTCCCACTAACTCCAGTTCAGACTCTGGCAGCAGCATTTTGGATCAAGTGAAGACTTTTTAAAGACGTATTTGGACACCCAGATAATAAACCATTGCAATAGTCCAGTCTAGACATGACAAATGCACAAATCAGTTTTTCTGCATCATTTTTAGATCAGATGTTTCTAATGTTAGTGATATTACGCAGGTGGAAGAAGGTGTTTCTAGTAACGTTTTTAATGTGGGTGTTAAAAAACATGTCCTGATCACAAATAACACCAAGATTTTTAACATTAGAGCTGGAGGACAGATTAATTCATCTAAGGAGGGAGAAAGACTGAAAAATTAATTCCTAAGGTGCTCAGGTCCAAAAACCAAAACCTCAGTCTTGTCTGTGTTCAAAAGCAGAACATTTAGGGTCATCCAGGTTTTTATGTCTTTAAGACATGTTTGTAGTTTAAGTAACTGATTGGATTCATTGAGTTTTATGGACAAATACAGGTGCTGGTCATAAAATTAGAATAACATGAAAAAGTTGATTTATTTCAGTAATTCCATCCAGAAAGTGAAATTACACACAGACTGATATATTTCAAATGTTTATTTCTTTTTATGTTGATGATTATAACTGACAACTAATGAAAACCCCAAATTCGGTATCTCAGAAAATTAGAATATTACTTAAGACCAATTTAAAAAAAAAGGATTTTTAGAACTATTGGCCAAAAGTATGAGCATGTACAACACTCAATACTTGGTTGTTGCTCCTTTTGTCTGGATTACTGCAGCAATGCGGCGTGGCATGGAGTCGATCAGTCTGAGGCTCTGCTCAGGTGTTATGAGACCCAGGTTGCTCTGATAGTGGCCTTCAGCTCTTCTGAATTGTTGGATCTGGTGTATCACATCTTCCTCTTCATAATACAGGTTATGTGGTGTGAGGTTTGAAGGAGGCGGTTTGGCTCTGGAGAGGGTTGCTGAATCAGGTTGAATTCATCATGTCCTGGATGACTGAGAATCTTCACCAGCATATTGCTAAACATTTTGGGAAGGATACCCTATAGGAGCAGTGCGGGAGTTTGAGAAGATGTCAAGGAAGTTTGCAGACTACAGGAATCATCTTCGTTTCAGCCTGAGATGCAGACAAGAAAAACTCATCCCCAGCAGTTTGAAACTCAACTCCACGATCAAAGGACACAGAGCAGAAGGAATACTCCTGAAAGCTCAAAACAAGCTGCTCAGTGAGAGCATAAGACAGATACACTTCACCATTGAAGCTCTCTCACTCAAAATGGATCAGACCCTCCAGAAGCTGTCTACTCGGCTACCACTTCCTCTGTTGGAAGAAGTTTCTTGTTTCGTTGAAGAGGCCCAGCTTTCGCAGCATCAAAAGAGCAAGGAACGCCAAAAAAGTAAGTTTCTAAAATTACAACAGAGAGCGGTTTTATCATCACAAACCATCAGTCAAGATCAGGAGTTTGTCGCCAACACTAATTTTCAGGACCAGTGGGTTAGAAACTTGTCTAACAGGACATTGACACAACCTGAGAAAGATGTGCTGACAAAAGGACTAAACTTTGCCATCTCCCCACAAGAAATACCTCTTGTGGAACTAATCACGGCCACTGAATCCGCGATTAGGAACAACAACTTGACGGAAGGAGAGGCAGAACAGCTCGGAATGAAAATATCAGCAACCCTTTCCAGTGCCAAACCACCTCCTTCAAACCTCACACCACAGGAAAGGAAAGCTGTAACATCACTCAGCCAGGGCCAAAACATCACCATTTTACCAGCTGATAAAGGAAGATGCACAGTAGTCCTCAACACTTCTGATTACCGGGCAGCCTTATAACCTGAATCTCTCACCCTCTGCTCTTTGAATTGAGAAAGCTCCTCGGATGAGGAGCGGAACGTCTTCTGTTACAAATAAAGTCCAGTTGTTTTTGTATTGAACGCTTTTTGAATTGGGATTTGATGTTCATTTTTTAAAGAATTGAGTCCACGAGGCTCAATGGGATTAACCTCTATAAATACTTCTCCTACTCCGCTCCTGTTTCCTGGAATATCTTGCAAATGGACCTGAAGCTCTCGACCTTGACCTCTCTAAAGTGGCTTTAAGAATCTGTTGGACTCCTGGCACGGACCAATGCAGACATGTTCCTGTTTTTAGTTTTTTACATTCGCCTTATAATCTAGCTGTTTTTGTTACTTTTTTTACCATCTTATTTGTATTATTTTTTTTAAATCTGTATGCCTTTTTATAACTGTCTTTTGTTGTCGCTGTTGTTGTCACTCTTTGTTAAAATCAGGTCTCTCTTGTAAATGAGGCCTTGAGGCTCAATGGGATTAACCTGTCTAAATAAAGTTTGAACGAATGAATGAATTTTTTAAGCATAATGTGTCATCCGCCAGTTGGCTGATGACAATCTCTGTTCCCAGTACATTCAAGGGGTTTTATGTCCTTACTGTTTTTAATATAAATGGCTAACATCTCAGTCACTAGGCAGCTGTTAAGAGTTCTGTCAGTGTTTTTCAATACGTCGCCATGGTAACTTGAATTGCCAATAAAAGTAATAACATCACAGTGTCGAGCCGGTTGTTTTGATATAATGGTAATATTTGTGGGATAGCCTTAAAACTGATAGAAGAACAAGACCCCTTTCAGGTGGATAATAATAATAAATGAGTAATAATAAGCGGCGGGGCAGCTCACAATAAAGTAAACTTCCTGCAGTGTTCGTCCTCCAGCCAGCAGGGGGCGCTGCTACAGACAGCGGCCTGTACCTCCGAGCACCGGATGGCAGCCTCTCACCGTTCTCCTTAAAACTGTTTGTTTGTTAAGAAAAGCGTAACCAGCCTTGGTGATACAATTTCATCTCTATTTTTGGTTAATCTAAGGATTTATCGGTGGTGTTATAGAAGAACGTCGACACCGATAAGTAGGTAAACACCTCTTAGCTAGCTGCTATGCTAACGATTTTATTAATCGGTGTTTTTGTTCCTTATTCCTCAAATTCACTCGAGGCTAACGCTGTGTGCATCATATATGATTAATAATCTTGTTATGTTGCATAAAAATAGTTCTTAAACGTTAGTGTCTGTTTTTATGTTATGATGTCGCAGGTTTACTGGCCAGGTTTATTTTAATGTGATTTCTGTACCGTTTTTTTTTTTTAACTTGCATGTTTTATGTTTCTTAAACCTTCAGACTTAAGCTGTTAGATGCAGGGCAATGAATCTACAGTACCGGTACCGTAATGACCCGAGACTGCAGACGCGCTCGGACCCGAGACCTCCACGGGGTGTGGAGGAGCCTCCGAGGAGGAGCAGGTTTACAAACGCTACACCTCAGGACAGCAGGGTTGAGTGGAGGGAAGCCAGACCTTCTTACCAGAACTGTGAGGACCCAGACGGGGTACCGCTCACCGAGGTGGACCCTGAGCTGTTGAGAAAGAAGCAAATGCTTCAAAAGTTGAATGAAAAAATCTTGCACACGAAAGCTTCCATCGCCATCAAATCGGTTAAAGCGCATGTAAATGTGCCTCCTTTTCCAGCTGATGTGCAAGAGTTACGAGCACCGGCTGATTCCTGCGCATTATCTGCACCAGCTAATTCACAGGCCTCGTCCGTGCCGGGTGGTTCTCATGGCATGCAGATGAAAATGTGCGAAGGTGGACCCCTCAGAGACAGAGTGAGAGAGATTTTGCTGCAGCGTCAGTTCAGCCTTTATTCAAAGGTAAAGACATAACTTTGCTTGCTGGGGGTAAGCTGTCACATGCTAAATTATATACAGTACTTTATTCTCTTCACTGAAAAGTTATTGGTTGTTTCAGTGGTGTTAGTATAAACATTTTTCATAGCATGCTGTTTACTGTGATGTTTTGTCATGTAATTCTCAGCTCCAGTCGTCCAAAGAGAGATTGAAATCATCAACACTGAGCAAGGAGCGTCTGCAGCAGGAGCAGCATCCGCTGAAGCTCAGAGTGAAGGCGCTGAGGACGCACAGACTTGGTCACACCAGTGTTTTACCGACTAACAAAGAGAAGGTTTGGGATGTTTTTTATTTTTATACACACATGCACATAGTAGAAAAACAAAATCACATCCCGACTGCAGTAATTTAATGATACATTAACAAATGTAGAATATCTACATATCAGGTCCACATTTTAAAATACAAACAAAAGATTTGTTTATAATACAAATCAGTTCATAACTGGACCAGAATTATAGCTACAAAACTATTTTACTAATATTATAAAAATACTAGAAATAAAAAATAAAAAACAATTCAACATGGCTGCCTCAGCTTATCGACTTTAGTAACTCGGTTAATTTTACAGACGTTGAGCTAAAATTCGGTGTGGGAGTAGCTGAGAGTCATCCCGACACAATCTAAGCACTAGGCTGCCTTCAGGCCCAGGCCTCCCTTGCAAAAGAGATCTGTGCTCTGAATGGAATTTGCCTGGTTAAATTAATGTTAAAAAATAAATAAATAACAGACCATCCATCTATCATCTTCCGCTTGTTCCGAAGTCGGGTCATGGGGGCAGCAGCTTGAGCAGGGAGGCCCAGACATCTCTTTCCACAGCCACCTCTTCTGGGAGGACTCCAAGATGTTCCCAGGCCAACTGAGAGATATAGTCTCTCCAGCGTGTCCTGGGTCTTCCCTGGGGTCCCCTCCCAGTCAGACGTGCCTGAGAGGCGCCCATGGTGCATCCTTACCAGAGTTCATGGCCATCGGTGAGAGTAGGAACATAGGCAATGCAAACCAAACTCTTGCACCACTTGTGTAGGGACCGAACAGCTCATAACAACAGGCCCCCAATCCCATACTCATGGAGCACCCCCCACATTGTATCTCAAATAACACAGTCAGACGTCTTCTCCAAGTCCACAAAACACATGTAGACTGGATGGACAAACTCCCATGACCCCTCGAGGACCCTAGTGAGGGTAAAGAGCTGATCCAGTGTTCCACAGCCAGGAAAACCCTCCCTAACCTGGGGTGTCCACCACCAAGTTTGAGGATAGCCACCACGAGAAGCACTGACAGCAGCTCAAGGCAGCCACTTCAACAATTGAGGCTGCTTAATGTGGCCCACTCGGACTCCGTGTCCCCTGTCTCAGCTGGGATGCAGTTAAAGCTCTCTCGGATGTGTGAGTTGAAGATCTTTCTGACTGGTTCTTTTGCCAGGCGTTCCCAGCAAACCCTCACTACATGTTTGGGTCTACCTCAGTGGTTAATTTGTGCCGGATCTTGCCGGAACAAGATCAGGGAACTCTCTAGTTTTCACCGGGCGCGTTCTGGCAACTGTTCGTTCGGATCCGGCAGCTCATATCTCCGCCCATAAAAGTCCAAAGTCATCATGCATTTTTATTTTGATTATTTATTAAGAATACAACGAGAGGAGACATTGTCCATGTCTGTGGAGTGGATGTTACTGCTGCAGCAAGCGCCAGCTCATGGACACGCTCCTGCCAGCAGAGATGCTGACCGCATATCCTGCGGGGATGAAGCGTCCTCATCCACCTTCAGCTGTGTCTCAGAAACCAAAGCAGCACAAACGAAAATTTTAATGGCACAAACCAGCACAAACGTAGCACTAACCACTCAGTGTATTTACTGGAATTTTGGACGTGGGTAGTGTGTCAACTTCACTTGCTCAGGTGTGCGCAATGCAGACAGTGCATGTTTTACACACAGGAGCATCTCCATACAGCTCTGCGGAGCGCACACAACTGCCAATGTGTCACAACTCCTGCATACATTTCAAAGATGATAAATAAAAAAGCTCCCAGTAAAAAAAAATAAAAACAAGTGAGATGTTAGATGTGTATTATTCACATTGCACATTTCAAGATTAGTCAAAATAACCAAGATCAAAATGTCTAAAAGACTCAAATTTATTATCTAAAATAAATGGATGGCAGCAGAAAGAAGAAAAAATCTTATCTGCCCCTTTTTACCAAAAAATTAATTCAAACCATAATAATCTTCTAATAACAAAAACTAAATAAACAACTCCTTCTCAAGCAACAATTCATACAAATACATATTAAGCTATTTCATATTTAAATTAAACCCATCATGGTGTTATTATCTATAAACATCACAATCCTGGTGCAGAGGGTGCAGAAATATGTGAAGAGAGCTGGGCTGAGGACACAGCCCTGTGGTACACCTGTCCTCATCGTGTATGGATGGATAAATGATGCCTCTAAATCTTGTGTTTCACAGGTTTCTGATGTCCCCCTGCCCCCTCCCAGACAGAGCGTTACATCTCCTGTGAGACAGGAGATCAGCTCCAGCAAAGGATTTGAGCTCCTCGTCAATGTGCTCAACAAAGGAGCAGGCCCTAAGATAAAAGAAACGGTAGGTTTAAAGGCAATATTGTACAATCTCATGTTTTTCATCAAATTTATTCTCTGAAGAACCCCTCCAGCTAGTCTTAGACCTGGTTAGAAATGGTCGTTACAGTAAATTTCAAATATCTTTGTTTTGACAAGTTTTTAGAAAAAACCATTAAGGATTAAAAGGTAATAAAAATGCTTTATTTCCATTGTATAATTTGAGTAAAATTTGTGTGGCAATTTGCAACAGTTGGCGACAATGCAAAATCAAAATGCTAAAATACAACAATAGCAGCAACCGTGCAATCAATATTCTTAACAAAATCATAGATTTACATCGGCAGTAGGAAGTATATGTACAGGAGCTACAGACACGTGTGTTTCCATCCATGCTATTCAGCTGGAATGTCTTAATTGAGATGGGTGGTGGCTGGGGGGTTCTGGTATGGGAGGTTGATAGACTCAACCGCTCTGGAGAAGAAGCTGCTCTGCAACCTGCCGATTGGTTTTTAGAATCTCTTCCCTGATGGAAGAGGGATGGACAGTTTGTGGCCTGGATGGGTGGGGTCTCCGGTAATGCTACTGGCCTTTTTCCTTTGCTGGTTTGTGTGCGAAATTTCTGGGTGTCATCATTGATGAAAAACTAACATGGAGATCTCACGTAAAAAACTTAAGAACTAAAATAGCTAAATCGATTGCAGTAATGTACAAAGTTAGAGTGTTATTCAATGATAAAGCAATGTGTCTATTGTATAATGCCATTATTGTTCCACATTTAATTTACTGTATTGAAGTCTGGGGTAAAGCATGTAAAACAATTACAAATCCAATTTTTATTTTACAGAAAAGAGCCATAAGAATTATTACCAGAAAAGATTATAACCATCCATCAAATATATTGTTTCATCAGCTAAAGATATTAAAATTTTATGACTTGGTTGATTACAATATCTTACTGTTTATGTATGGGGCCAACAAAAACATACTACCTACTAACATTCAAGGGAAATTTGTTAAAAGAGAAAGTAATTATTATCTTAAGGGGATGGAGATGTTTGTGAAGCCGCGGTGTCGCACCAGTCTGAAGATGCGATCCACTAGATCTCAGGGTATTAGATTGTGGAATGATCTGGAGGTTGATATTACAAATGCCAAAACTATGTACATATTCAAGAAGATGATAAAAATTTGTTTTAAAAAAAAACATTAAGTATAATGTGAGTTCATAAAAATTGTTTACAGTTGATCTTATATTTTAGCTAAGTTTTTATTTTATTATTTTTATTTTTTTGTTAATTCATCTTGCTTTTGTATAGTAATTTTGTTTGGAATATATTTTGGGGACAAGGGGCAGATATTATAAGAACTCATTCTTCTTCTGCTGCCTTTCATTTTATTTCTGTGATTGTATATCTTTTTTCTTTTCTTTAAATTGTATTATATTTGTTGTTTGGATGAAATGAAATGAATAAATAAAACATACATACATACTATGGTGGCATCATCTATAAACATTACTATCCTGGTGCAGGGGGGTGCAGAAATATGTGAAGAGAGCTGGGCTGAGGACACAGCCTTGTGGTACACCTGTGCTCAGTGTGGATGGATGGATAAATCATACCTCTAAATCTTGTTTCACAGGTTCCTGATGTCCCCTTGCCCCATCCCAGACAGAGCGTTACTTCACCTGTGAGACAGGAGAGCAGCTCCAGCAAAGGGTTTGAGCTCCTCCTCGATGTGCTCAACAAAAGAGCAGGCCCTAAGATAAAAGACATGGTAGGTTTAAAGGCATCCTCATGCATTCACGTTTCTTAGCAAAATAAAGCAGTTTGGTTTGAGCTATTAAAGGCCCTGTTTATACAGCTATGGTTAAGTGAAACCGTAACATTTCCGTTGCGTTTCAACCTTCCTGTACACAACAACAGCGGTCGTTTTCTCTGACACCAAAACTTTTGAATCCCGATCTCAAGAGTGGAGATTTTTGGAAACCTTCACTTTGAGACCCATCCAATGTTTATTGGATGGCCACAATCATAGTTTTTCTGGCCCAAATGGATAAACAGTAACGACGGATAGCAGAGTGCTGTTTGTCCTGATCACCCATTTCAACACGTAGGAATGGCTCAACCTTATCCCCGGCCCAAATGAACATTTGTGTATTCACCTTTTTATATAAAACTGTTTTATTGCTGAGGCTAAAGTGTCTGCTTGTATGCTGTGTGTCGTTAAATTACAAAAATTACCACACCAGCTAGTGACCTGAGACATAAACTGCAGTAGATTTAACTAGCACAGCATTACAGCGTAAATGTTTTTTTTTAATTTTTTTATTACATAATTCAACCAATCTGAATGTTTACAGGAAGTAAACCTGGAAATTGTTCAGGTGAGAGCAACACAAACTTTTCTTAGTTTTTTTTTTATTTTATTTTTCTAATGCTACCACCTGCTAGTTAAACCAAACATTAATTTTTACCGTATTTTCGCCGTACACGTCGCACCGCTCTATAAGTTGCATCAGTCCAAGTATGTCTAATAAAGCGGAAAAATCCATAAATATGTTGCTTCACCGTATACATCACATCTACTGTGTGTCACCGCTGACAACTTGGAAATGTGGGCCGGTGTTGTGACAGAATGAATGAAAACGGTCATATCTCAGCCAAAAATTGGTTTATAAATATGGGAAAAAAAATGCATAAATACGTCGCTTCGGCGCGTAAGTCGCAGGGCATGTAAATTATTCCAAAAAAATGCGACTTATAGAGCGAAAAATACTGTAAGTGAAATTTAAAACTCAGTGAAGTTTTATAAACCTTTAATTTGTCAGTGTTATATTCTTTAGTAAATATGACTCAAAGAAAACTTTTTGTTGCAACAAGGCCTCGTCAAACCACCGAATCAATCTGCATCGGAAAACCAAACATTTCCAAAGTTCGTTCGTGCATATAAACAGGACAACGACTCTGAAATACTGATTTACAACACTTTTAAAATCTAAAAAAAATGTAAGATTTAAATGGGTCAAGGAGACAATCCCTGTCAGTTGTTGGCACCAGTTTCATCTTTTGAATGCAGAACACGTCTTTGCTTTTCTTGAGGTTAGATTTGAGTAGTTTTAGAATCTGGTTAAAAACCTGATTAGTGTGAGGATCTGATCTGTTAAACTCTTGAACTAAAATAGGTTAGGCTGTCTTTTTCCAATCACTTTTTGTTGTTTTGATAAAGATTTTATTAAAACTTAATGAAACCAGGGTTTTGAGCCACAAGTGATACCTTCTGTATGTTTTGACAATCACAGGCTCCTGATGTCCCACTGCCCCCTCCCAGCCGGAGCGTTGCTTCTCCAGTGAAGGAGAAAACTGCTGTAAAGGGTTTTGAACGCTTCCTTAACGTGCTCAACAAAGGAGTCAACATCAGTTCGCTCAGCAGTAATGTCAAAGAGGATCCAGAAATTCCTGTCGTCTGTGTTAAAACCAAGTCGGATCCGTTTCTCAGGCGTGAGAGCCTGCCGTCGGGAAGTGGATCCTCGAGCAGGAGCAGCAGCACAGAGTCCAAAACCGGCTGGCTTGATCGAGAGGAATCTCTGCCTAAAGATATAGAGGAAAAGACTGCGACACAAGGCTCCAGTCTGGACTCCGGTGACCCGTCAACATCTTCCCTGAAGGTGACGAAGAAGGAGGAGGAGGAAGAAGAAAACTCAGATTTAGAGGAAAAGCGCAAACAGCTGCAGAGCATTCTTAAAAGTCTGGGCTTGAATCTGAACATGGAGGATCTGAGCAAACTAACGGATTGCAATAATGAGAGGATGTACGGGAAGAAGAGCGTCAAGAAAGAGAAGGACGTCAAGAAGGGGAAGAAAGTCAAGAAGGGGAAGAACGTCAAGAAGGGGAAGAACGTCAAGAAGGGGAAGAACGTCAGTAAGGTGAAGGGCGTCAATAAAGAGAAAAACGTCAAGAAAGACGGAAGCGACAGCAAGGAGAAGCAGGAGAGATGCAACAGAAGTAAAAAATCACACTGCTCCTCCCCCTATTTATCTTCCTCCGCCTCTTCTTATTCCACTTCTCAGTCCAGAAGTTTGAGTCGGTCCAGAAGTTTGAGTCGGAGCCCCTTTCATGGGCGCTCTCGCAGCAGAAACCAGCGCAGCCGTTCTCGCAGCAGAAACCAGCGCAGCCGTTCTCGTGAAACGAGCCAAGATGAAACCAGACGCCGCAGCATGACGTCGTCACAGAGCCGTGGTCACAAAGATGACGCGTTTCCTTTTCCTCATTCTGCAGATTACTTGTACAAGTGTGCCCAGTTCATTAACTACTGCAACGCTTACAGCAGTGCTATAAACCCCTACTGGTTCTACCAGCAGAACGAAAACAGCCAGCTTCCTGTTTCATCTGAAAACTACTCTGATCCTCAGTGCAGCAGGAACGACTCTGCTCAGAGAAATCCAAGCGTCTACCCTTTTTCTTATCAAGACTTTATGGCGTCAATGAATACAGAAAAAGTAAACGTCTTGAGTGGAGAGGGCCGTTCTCAATGCCTGAAGGTCATCGTGGGGTCGCCGTCTCAGAACTCGAGGCGGCATCAAAACAGGAAAGAAAGGAAAAGATCATTATCAACAAGCAGTGAAAAGTGTTCCAAGAAGGAGGAGGAGGGACCGTCAAAGGCGACTTACTCAGAGAGGAAAGCCATACCGGAGATGGGGCGGAGCCTCAACGCTCGACGATCAGAAGAACGGAAGACTTATTTGCACCGAATTGACATTAGTCATCCCAAAGAGGGGAGACGAAGGAGATCATCCTCGGAAAGGAGTGAAGAGTCTCCCATGGAGAAGCAAATGGGACCATCGGCGGCAATTTCCTCAAAGGTGAAAGCGTTACTGGCGGGGGTGCGGAGCCTCGACGCTCAACAGTCAGAAGAAGAAAAACCTCCGACAGAAAAGGTCGGTGCGTCGGATGGGAGTTCTGGCTTGAGCGGAGCTGTCAAATCCTGTCTTAAAATCAAAGTGACACCATCTCCATCCTATCTGGAAAAAGAGAGGAAAGCACGAGTGGAAGAGGAGATAAAGACCAGGCTGAGGACAAAGGTGTGTTTTTATTTTGATATACGCCCGTCAAAGGCGGGGCTTATTCTGGTGTGGCGTCTGTACGTAAACTTCTGATCCGCTCAAGATAATTTAATGAAACGACGCATCATCACTAGACAGAGCGTTGCTTACAGTTTTCATCACCCCAGCTCCAAGTTCAAGGTCACAAATCAAGGTCAAATGTTACACAAGGTTTTTGTCTGGGTCATTGCTACAGACTGCCGTATAATAGTTTGTCAACGGGCGTATAATGTGCTGTGAGTGATGATCTTGTTCAACACTCATCCAAGTCAGGAAGTTATTTTTGTTTTAATACTAAAAGTTAAGTTTCAAAATCAATGCTTCTTTTTGTTTGTATTGATGCCAAAAAGCAGTTTGTTTCCTCCCGGTCTCATTTATTTGTTATTTTTTTTTAGCTTCTGGATTTTACCCAGAAGGCGAAGGAGATGACGAAGCGACAATACCCAAACATCATTGAGCCTGCTGACTCTCTGGCCTCTGAGCTCAGTTAATGTAAGAAAACGTACATTCTCCTACAGTCATCGGTATTTATCTAAACTCTTATTTGTTTACAGCTTCAAGTAACTCTCACTTTTTATTTTTTCCCCTCCAGATCTCTGGACTGTGGAGACATTTATACGAGGCATTTCGGATCAGAAACTTTCATGTTTAAGGTTTTATTTTTACACGTTCACTTTTACAGAAACATCTGAAATTTTACCTTCGTCTTCACGTTTAAACCTAATCATTCTCAAACTGTAAAAAAAAAAAAGTAAACTACGAAGTTTTATTTCACATTTTCTCCTGCTTCACAGCGATATTTTTACTTTAGTCCCCTCTTCGGTTCCCATCTTGTACAAACTTCTTCATGCTAAATATTTTATGTTGTAGTTGAAAAGACACTTTTCTTGCCTAAAGGGGTTTGCGTTTATTTCTTGGCCACTCGGAGTAAACTTTACAAGAAAACTTAACAGCTGCGGATGACTTTCTTTAAAAACAAACATTTTAAAATTCAGTTTTCAGTCATGATCTTTCATTTAGTAGCACCAACATGTTTATACAATATCCCCTTTGTTTGTTTGTATGGTTTGAATGAAAATGCATTTGCTAAAAGTCATCTGGCATATTAAATGTAGAATAAATGGACTTCTGCCATATTTTAACCTATAAGTGTTTTTTTGTTTGTTTGTTTTCACACATAAATGGATTAAATTAAAACTATATTCTGACTCCTTTTCTAGAAGAAATAAAGTCGGAGTTGATAATGTTGAGAAAAATCACAGCATTCAGAGTTTGGGGTTTTTATTGACGGACTGAAGTTTGTCTAAGTGGGCGAGATAATTTTTAACATCCTAAGTATTGTGTTTAGTGCAGGATTAGAACCTTGGAGGCTTGGGGCCCTCCAGAGGCTTGAAGCTCAGGGCTGCAGCTGCTGCTGGAATGCGTCATTCTCAACCATCTTGGAAACATCTTGGTGGGTCATCGTCCTCAACACAGGAAGGTGTTGCATCCTGTCTGACCCCCACTGAAACACATGAAAATGGAGTATAATGGCCGACTCTCACCGAGACTAAGGAAAGAAAGCAGGACCATGAAGACTGGTCAGAGTGTCAGCTTCTGCAGCTGGAGCTGGAACTCTGGAGAGCGGTGCCCTGTAGACTCTGGAGAGAAGTGCCCTGTAGACTCTGGAGAGAAGTGCCCTGTAGACTCTGTAGAGAAGTGCCCTGTAAACTCTGGAGAGTGGCGCCCTGTAGACTCTGTAGAGAAGTGCCCTGTAGACTCTGTAGAGAAGTGCCTTGTAGACTGGAGAGTGGCG